GAATACTGAGTAATAAGTTTTGTACATCAAAAGAGAGTAGTGTTGCGTTAGAAGGGATTTTGATCTCTTTAATTTTGTTGATTAATTCAAAAGAATTTTTTATTGCAAATTTTTGTTTAAAATCTGTGTGTAACTTTAAAATATTTACTAATTTTGTAGAGAGCTTAACTGCTGGAGCTGTTACATAAGACACGACTGGTCTAATGGAAAAATCTTGTTTATGTAATTTAACTAAAGAATATAATTTCAGCGGTTGTGGATTCATAATTGTTAAAAAATATTTGTCTTTGTCACTAAATAGTATGGAGTTAGTAATTACTTCCTTGATTTGTCTTTGATATAACTCGGTAGGATCGTGTTTGATACATTGGAAAAGTTCTGGTTTAAGAAAATTGTTGGTTTTTGAAATATATTCTGGGAGATCGATAGATATGACTGTCTTCCCTTTATCTGCACGTGTAAATAGTATGTTATTTTCACAAGCTTTGTTTTTGATAGTTTTTACTAGTGACATTTGAGAAGTTCCTTTGTGTTTGTTGTTATCTATTAATTGAGAGTTTATTATATTCGCTATTACATGTTTCTTTAAATTAGAATCGTTAATGTTCTCCTAACCTACTACTAAACTACGAATGGATTAACTCAACAATTATTTATTTTTAAGTAATTAAAATAATATATTTCTGTTCAAATATCGACTGTTGAAACTGCGCTTCTAACTATTTTTTTATTATGCTATTAATCAATAACGAGGTCATCACGATTCCGACTTTTTATGAGATAATTTAGCTTTGAACTACTAGCGCCACAATATGTATAACGTCTCATCCAGTGTCGATCTGGACAGTTCGTAGCATTTTACCATAATTCAACAATATGAACTGGTGCGATTTATATCGGATTTTCTGTGATGTAGTTCTCGTTCAATAAATCTTAAGATACTGAAACGGATCATTTAAGCAGAGAAAACTTCGTATGGCCAAAGTGTGAACGATCTGTGGTCAGCGATATGTTAACTGTCTGTGATATCCAATATCATTCAAACAACCAGTCCCAGATATTCACTTCGTATAGAGAAGGCATGCCAAAAAAGAACATAAATAGCGCATAAATAACGAAAACTTACTGGGGCAGAAAAAAATAGCTAACTTGGAGGGGGAGTTTATTATAAGCATTCGTAGCTCAAGTTTTCCGTTTCCGTAAAGTCCTAAAGAAGCCAACAGAAGGATCAGCGAAACTTCAACAAGTTCGATTCATCAAGAACTGACGGAGGAGGGATCCAAAAGCTTTCATCTCTGTATAGCTAAAGCAGCGCTTCAATTGGGCTAAATTATGCTTGGGAATTGTATTAATATCTGAGTTGCGAGTACGTTTCTCAAATAAACCTTAGAAGAGTTATAATTTTTTAGTTAAAACCAAGAGCTGCGATTCAAATCGTTGGTTTAAAGTCAACTGATGTGATTTTTTAAGGTAAGAATTATTATCAAACTTTTCGTTGACATCATGCTTACTGGAAATGTCAATGAAACTATTGAAGTCGCGGTTTATCTTATTAATGTCTGTGAAAGTCGTTAATTGCATAATTTATTACGATTTTCTTTTTGTTTTTGTTCGTATGCCATTTCTCTTTTCGTTTTTACCCTTGGGGGAGGTAGGTTATAGATCGATGGGGCTTATTAAACTGTGACAACCGCTACGCTCAGTCAAATTCCATGTTATAAAGTGCATCATTTTGATAGGTTCCGGCCCAATCTAAAATGAATCTTTAAATTCTACAAGCTTTGAGCAGATAATAACAATTTTTGTCGTGGTACCTGAAGGCTGCTTGGTTTGTTAAAATATAGGATATGATATCTTGCCTTGTATGTGTGTAGCATAAATAATTTTTGTAGCGCTGCTAATACCTGAAATGGCTCGAATTACGACCAACTAGTAACGGACGGTGGGCGCGCCGAGGATTGTAAACTCTCCCGGTTTCTAAAACTCCATTTAAAAGCCGCATTTCCTTCGTTTCGGTGCTTGTTTGGAAATTTATTCTTTGTTTTGAAGTAAACGAAAACAGCTGATGCATAGTACTGCGTACCCTATGCGCGGAACGGGTGGTGGTCACAGACCTGCAATAACTCAATTGGTTGCGAATAACGTTATATTTCCCTGGCAAAATTAAAGCATTCACCAGCGAGTTACTAGCTGTTGTCTGTGGCATAGCGTTGTTATGGTGGTAGCGGCGATCGTCCTCTGGTCCCTTTTCTTTTCTTTGGCGGTTCTGGTGTTCTTTTTCCCGCCGGTAAGCAGCATGCTTCCTGTAAGTTTTCCCTTGTCCAGGCTGTTTTTGTAAGGAGTCGCTTAAAGCTCACGCATATTGCGGATTTAGAAGGATACTGATAACTCTGATCTCCGGAATAAGTGGGTAAACAGACGCGGTCGTTTGTACCCCCTACTTGGTAGGATTTAGCGGAGAGAGGTTTTCAAGGATAACGCTCAACCTATAAGGCCATCTCACATCGACGGTAAGCCATATCCACTTACTATTTCGCGCTGTCGACCCGTAGTAATTTTTCGTTTATTCTCTTTAAGGTCTTCTTTTTTTTTCCTTTTTAATTTGACTCCCCGTATAATATTTGCACTGCTCGTTGGATCACATCAAGGATTGTTTTAACCACTTCACTCCTGGGGCTTCCTACTCACTATCCTCGGTTTACGTCCACGCACGGTCGCGGCCACAGATCGCGCCCACTGGAGCTTGAGCCTGGTGGAACAAATTGTATATGGTTGCAGCAGACAAATAGTTGTAGAGAGAGTAAAGCCACTTGGCCCCGATCAGACGGTTCACAGACTAGTACCTACCCGCCCAACGCCCCTAGTTCCACGGAAAGTTTTTATTTAATTGGAATTTTAAAGTATGTAATGTTGAGAGCTCTGCGGCAAGCGTAATATTTGATGCCTGAGCGAAGGCTACTGTTTTTGAGTCTCAGGCCCTCCTCCCTCTTGGTTTTGAATAAAGTATTTGTTCGGAAATTGAGTTTCACTCGCCTACTCGGCCCACGCCTCACCGACAATTGAGACAGCCGAGCAGCTACTCGTAAATTTTGTTAATAAGTAACAATTTGGCGTTCAACGTGGGGCTGGGCGAGGTTACTCTCTTTCCTGTGGTTTTGAGTGGGGGTGAGACTTTGTTGTGAACCGAGTCTGGTATTAAAGCTGGTGGGATTAGTTGTTGCTTTACATTAAAATTGCTGTAACGGTTTTAAACTGCGTTTCCTTTATTAGCACCTATAATCCAACATACAAGCAGCAGGCTATCCTATCCTATTTGCTTAAAAATTTATTTGAACATATTTTGTTTTCCTTTTCGAGAGTTAGTGTAACTGAAAATCCTCTCCACTCTGGCTCTAGCTCCTTTTTTTTGCAATTGCGCTTCATGTGGGTTCGAGCAAGGACTTCACTAGTTACGGTGACCGTGTTTGTGCGGGTGGTTTGTCTACTTCATTTTGTTTGTTTTTTTTTTCCTCTGTGATCGGTAGGATACCGATTAGTGGACGCTAGTGATAATTTCGCTTCTGTTTTTTTTTTGGTACCATTTCCGACTCACCTAAATTGAAATGGATGTTAACCGCTTACTTAATGACGAGCTGTCGTACGAGTTGTGTGTACGAGGGTTACCTACTACAGGCACAGTTGCCCAAAAGAGAGCTGTGCTCAGAGACGCATTTCGCTTAGAACGCTTAGGCCAAGCGCCAATCCCAGCAACTCTTACTGAGGATGTGACTTCTGAATTGGATATATGCCGAACGAAACTGCATACTTTAGCGACCGATGTGGATAACTTTGATCTGGAAAATCGCGAAAACGAGTTTAGACGAATCTGTACCCGACTTCTACATATAAGTCTGCGTTTGGATCGAATCGCCTGCGCTGACCTTGGTGGAGACCGCGACGTAAAAGCGGAATTGGAAGAGACGTGTGCCCAGATTATTGGGAAACAACCTCAAATACGAGGGATACAATTGTTCACCTCGGCAGCAGGGCGGATATAGAGACTCTCTTCTGGACGCTATCTGCGAGGGAAATCCAGAGTGCGATACACCATCAGCACATGAGAAATGCCGCAGTTTCATACGATCTAGTGGATTTGGGAGGCCAACAGGAACATATTTCTATTACTTCATCGAGGACTGATCTTCTCTCTTCACAGAGGGTGCCCGCTCTTGTCGCGCCGCAACAAGAAGAGAAGGGTGACGAACTAGTCCGTGCGGAAGACCGATATGGAACTAGACCATCTCAACAGTTTTCGGAATCTTCTGGAGATCAAATGCATCTGCATTTGATCTCCAGATGCACCGAACTCGCTACTTTACAGGATGGGACGATTTAATTCGACAATTGAAAGAAATGTTCCAGCCTCCTGACTATGAGTTCGCTCTATGGGATGAAATACGTCGGCGTACGCAGGGTAGCAAGGAGCGCGTTTCTACCTATATAGTGGCAATGGAGAATCTTTTTAGGAAATTGCCGTGCCTGATACCGTCGGAGCAGACAAGGCTGCAGATCATTAGAAGAAATTTACTACCCTATATCCAAACTCGACTGTCCATTTACGATATAACATCCACTCAGGAGCTGCTTAGACTAAGTCGCTTGGTTGAAGAAACCGAAGCCCGCGTGCAGAGATTTGTCCCACCTCCTACCAATGCCCGACATTTGCTGGAGCCCGAGTTGGGATATCACAGACCGATTGGGAATTTAATTTCCGCAGTTACGGAGAGACGCGAGGCACGAGATAGTGTAGATGTGGTGGAGATAGCGTCGGCAAATCAAGTAAACCAACCTAATTGTTGGAACTGCGGCGTGAAGGGTCATCGTTTCAGACAATGCAGTAAGCCACGGCGTCGGTTTTGCTATAAATGTGGGAAAGCTGACGCGTATGTAAAAAACTGTCCCACGTGTTCAAAAAACGTGAGAGCGGGGGGGCGGTATGCCAAACGCCCGAGCCGCTAGCTATGTCATCTATGGCCACTAAATCGCGTGCTATTCTAGACTTTATCTTCGCTCATGCCAAGGGTGACACGCGCCCTTACCTCGAAGTAGATATTTACGGTAAGGTGCTACTAGGTCTGCTGGACAGTGGTTCTTCACGAACTATTCTGGGCGCGGATGGATGGAGGATGTTGGAGGGATTGTGCCGATTAAACACCCGTACGCGTGCTGAATGTACGGTGGCGAATGGACAGTCTTGCCGGAGCCTTGGTTCAGTTATCTTACCTTTCAGGTTACGCGGAAGTATAACAGTTTTGGAAGTACTCGTTATGCCTGATATCCCTCATACATTAATTTTAGGAATTGACTTTTGGTCAAAGATGGGCATCATACCCGACATGTTTTCTGGCGAGTGGAAGTTCAGAGAGAATGCGCGTTACGAGGGAGAGATCGTTGCCATTCAGTCTGTGGACTCTTTAACGGCGGAGCAAAGGCATGAATTGAATTGTGTATTGGACAGGGCATTCGATAAAATGGATAAGAAACTTGGATGTACGAACCTAGTTGAGCTGACGATAAAGACCGATTCCCCACCGATTAAGCAAAAGCACTACCCTTTATCGCCACCCGCAAGTTAACGCGGAATTGGATGAAATGCTTGCGGACGACATCATTGAGCCCTCAGACTCCCCGTGGTCTTCGCCGATAGTGATGATCAAGAAAAGGTCCGGAGAGTGGAAATTTTGTGTGGATTACCTGGCGCTCAACAGAGTCACTATGAAGGACGCGTACCCTCTTCCGTTTGTTAGCTCCACTCTTGACAAGCTTCGTGACGCTCGTTATTTGTGTACATTAGACATAAAGTCCGCCTTCTGGCAAATACCGATGGCCCCGGAGTCTAGACCTCTCACCGCATTCACAGTTCCATCGAGGGGTTTATTTGCTTTCAAGCGCATGCCATTCGGCCTTTCCAATGCGCCAGCAGTATGGCAGCGTCTGATAGACAGGGTTGTTCGTGTTGATATGGAAGCGTATGTGTTCGTACACTTAGACGACGTTATAGTATGCACACCAACGTTCGAGAAACATTTAGAAGTACTAGCTGAGGTCATTTCCCGCATCATAAAGACTGGACTTACTCTCAACCGTGAAAAATGTGTTTTCTGCAGAGCTGAACTAAAGTATCTTGGATATGTGGTGAATTCTTCAGGTTTACTTGTCGATCCCGAAAAAATAGAAGCGATTCTTAAAATACCGATACCACGTAATGTCACGGACGTCCGACGGTTTGTGGGTTTGACATCCTGGTACCCTCGATTCGTCCCAAATTTTTCATCCATTATAATGCCCCTGAAGACCCTAACCTGTAAGAACACCCCATTTGTTTGGAATGAGGATTGCGAGGTAGCCTTCCGAGTCCTCAAGGAGCAACTAATTACAGCACCAGTACTGACATGTCCGGATTTCAGTATTCCGTTCACCATTCAATGCGATGCATCCGATTATGGATTAGGCGCCGTCCTTTGGCAAACGCAGGACAACGAAGAGCGAGTCATTTGCTACTTGAGCAGATCACTCACAAAAGGCGAGCGGAAGTTTAGTACGACAGAAAAGGAGTGTCTAGCAGTTTTCTTGGCGGTGGAAAAGCTTCGTCCGTATATAGAGGGATCCAAGTTCACTGTTATTACTGACCATTATAGCTTGAAGTGGTTGAACTCAATTAAGGATCCCGTTTGCCGAATTGCCACATGGGCAGTACGTCTACAACAATATGACTTCGAGATAGTCCATCGTAAAGGTAAGGACCACATTGTTCCGGATGCTTTATCACGATCCGTGCCCGTTATCGACTCCGTGTGCGAAAATCTCGACCGAACTTCGTCATTCGAACCGATTGGTGACCGCTAGTACAACTTGATGCTCCGAAGAGTGCGGCAGTGCCCCGCTAAGTACCCTCTTTGGAAAATACAACATAACATAGTTTATAAGAGAGCCAAGAATCGCTATGGTTAATGGCGCACCTGATAAAATAATTGCCGATAATGGACCACAGTTCAGGAGCAAAACTTTCCGGGACACCTTAAAGCAGTATAATATTGACATTCAGTCCACAGCTAATTATCATCCTCAGGCAAATCCAGTAGAAAGGGTTCACCGGGTGTTAAAAACAATGCTTGCGAGTTATATTGGCGAACAACACAAGAAGTGGGACCGCTTCCTCGCTAAGATTGGGTACGCCATCAGATCAGCCACCCATGATGTCACGGGTCTAACCCCGAATTTTGTTAATTTTGGCAGAGAAGTCCGCGTACCTAGGACTTGCAGCAGTCAGCCGAATTGCCCATATCCTGTTGACTTCGATCCAGTAGCTAGATCTGAATCCCTTTTCGAGGACGTACGCAATCGCTTACGAGCGGCATACCTAAAGTCTTGCCAGCGGTACAATTTGCGCAGGCGTGACGAAAAATTTACCTTGCATCAGAAGGTTTGGAAGCGTAAATACCATTTTTCTTTGAAGGACCTTTTACCATTTCGAGGATTGTGTCCCCATGGTCGTATGAGTTGGTTGACCGATTTGGCCGATCAGTCGGAGTGTGAAACGCCAAAGATATTAAAGCTCATCCGCCGGAAGTGCAAGATTAATTTTAGTTTTCTTCTTCTTTCTTTTCCTCTTTTTTTTTGTTTTGTTTTGTTATAGTACTCCTCGTTATTCCTACAAAGTTTCTTCGAAACTTTTTTTGGGAAGGGGAGGTGTTGTTACGATTTTCTTTTTGTTTTTGTTCGTATGCCATTTCTCTTTTCATTTTTACCCTTGGGGGAGGTAGTTTATAGATCGATGGGGCTTACTAAACTGTGACAACCGCTACGCTCAGTCAAATTCCATGTTATAAAGTGCGGCCCAATCTAAAATGAATCTTTAAATGCTACAAGCCTTGAGCAGATAATAACAATTTTTGTCGTGGTACCTGAAGGCTGCTTGGTTTTTTAAAATATAGGATATGATATCTTGCCTTGTATGTGTGTAGCATAAATAATTTTTGTAGCGCTGCTAATACCTGAAATGGCTCGAATTACGACCAACTAGTAACGGACGGTGGGCGCGCCGAGGGTTGTAAACTCTCCCGGTTCTAAAACTCCGTTTAAAAGCCGCATATTCTTCGTTTTGGTGCTTGTTTGGAAATTTATTCTTTGTTTTGAAGTAAACGAAAACAGCTGATGCATAGTACTGCGTACCCTATGCGCGGAACGGGTGGTGGTCACAGACCTGCAATAACTCAATTGGTTGCGAATAACGTTATATTTCCCTGGCAAAATTAAAGCATTCACCAGCGAGTTACTAGCTGTTGTCTGTGGCATAGCGTTGTTATGGTGGTAGCGGCGATCGTCCTCTGGTCCCTTTTCTTTTCTTTGGCGGTTCTGGTGTTCTTTTTCCCGCCGGTAAGCAGCATGCTTCCTGTAAGTTTTCCCTTGTCCAGGCTGTTTTTGTAAGGAGTCGCTTAAAGCTCACGCATATTGCGGATTTAGAAGGATACTGATAACTCTGATCTCCGGAATAAGTGGGTAAACAGACGTGGTCGTTTGTACCCCCGACTTGGTCGGATTTAGCGGAGAGAGGTTTTCAAGGATAACGCTCAACCTATAAGGCCACCTTACATCGACGGTAAGCCATATCCACTTACTATTTCGCGCTGTCGACCCGTAGTAATTTTTCGTTTATTCTCTTTAAGGCCTTCTTCTTTTTTTTCCTTTTTAATTTGACTTCCCGTATACTATTTGCACTGCTCGTTGAATCACATCAAGGATTGTTTTAACCATTTCACTCCTGGGGCTTCCTACTCACTATCCTCGGATTACGTCCACGCACGGTCGCGGTCACAGATCGCGCCCACTGATATATGATTGCAGCAGAAAAATAGTTGTAGAGAGAGTAAAGCCACTTGGCCCCGATCAGACGGTTCACAGATAAGTACCTACGCGCCCAACGCCCCTAGTTCCACGGATAGTTTTTATTTAATTGGAATTTTAAAGCATGTAATGTCGAGAGCTCTGCGGCAAGGGTAATATTTGATGCCTGAGCGAAGGCTACTGTTTTTGAGTCTCAGGCCCTCCTCCCTCTTGGTTTTGAATAAAGTATTTGTTCGGAAATTGAGTTTCACTCGCCTACTCGGCCCACGCCTCACCGACAATTGAGACAGACAATTTTGTTAATAAGTAACAAATTTTTCTCAAATCCATCAATGTTTCCAAATGTGTTTCCGATAAGCAATTATACTTGGTAACGTTCCTCCTTCTGCAATTTTTGCTTTTACCATTGTCCACGCTGATAATATTTTTAAATAGAAGACAATATTAGGTTACTTTATGTTGAGATTATCGCTGTTGCGGCGCCATTGCTTTACAGTAGTTTTGATTTACACTACTTGCAGCAGAGGAGTCATCCGGGCATGTTACTTAACCTAAAAGTCAATAAATTCTGACAGGTCAAATTTATATTGTGGTTTATTTCGTATATTTGTAAATGTCTATACGTCTCTATCACGTCTCAGATTTTCTTTTGAAGCATTGAACTGAATCTACTTTCAAGTTGAAACTGAACTGACACATAAATTTGAAAATTGGAGGTTCTCCCTTAAAGCACCCTCATGCCATGTCATGCACATCTGCAAATGTCACTCACGGAGGGCACAATCATCACGACTTCTACATCAAGACGATGAAACGATAGATTGTAAACAATCGACGAGTCAACAGCAACAGCGATAGGGGTATTTGATACTGAAAAAGCGACAAATGAAAAATGTGACATTAAAATATTAGTGATATTTTTTTTAATGTGTGTGATATAATCCCTAATCATTTAAACTAGAGACTGTGCATTGAATAATTATAAATCCCTGTGTTTCATGTGTTACCATCTTTTTTTGTTATAGTTATGGTAAACACTTGCAACGTGCCGAAGTATAAGGGGAATTGTGAAAAATAATTTTCGATAAGTGTTTTAAATCTAGGTACTAGAAGATGTACTAGAAAATTAAATATTTTCTAATCTTATTCGTTTTATTGTATGCTTCATTTTCAACCCTATGGAATTAAACAAGTTACAACCTGCACGAATGTGGCTAGAGGAGTAAGTAATATTATGTATAAAATAATAAATAATAAAATAATAAAAAGACAAATTAAGACATGTATATATTGAAGATCAAACCACTATTTTGTATTTTCATCTTTAAAGAATTCTTTCCATGAATAGTAGTTTTAATTTCGTAAAAAAGATTTTAATATTTAAAAAAAAAATATGTTTGCCGTAGAGTGGCTATTTATTTCAAACAATTTATTTAATCATTTAATATCCACATACTTTGGATTTTGCTGTTCAACATGCAATCTTGGAAACGGTAGGTGGTACAGTTTTTTATGCCTAATGTTATATTCATGCGTTTCACATCTCTTAATAACATTCTTATTATGAATTATGTTTTTGCAACATCTTGCATTTTACCAAATGGCCTACAATTCTGTAGAACAAAAGTTGCATACATACAGTATCAGATGAGTGAAAAAATAATCGTAAAATTCATTAGTTCTATAAACAAAGAAGCTCGGGTGTTGTTAATACAAAAATTTAAAACGGCAC